ATACACAAGTCTTTGTCGACATTCTCCAACAGATTGAGGTTCAAGATCCTCACTTTCTTGCATAATGCTAGATGCAACATTATATGCAAACACATAATCCACCACTATATCCACTCGATTCAAATTTGTCTCAATATCGATTGGATTTATTGATAGTTCCTTATTTTCTTGAGTCTCGGGCTCAGTGGATTCCTTATGAATCTCAGAATTTATTAAATCGTGGATTTCTTCATGAGATTCTTTCGTAGTGTGATTTTGATCATTTATTTTCCTTTTTCTAGGATTTCGATCTTTGGAACCTAATGGTCTGCCATGTTTCAGGCGTGCTTTTGACTCATTAGCTATGACACTAGAAGATTGTCCAATAGGGACATCAATACGGATTGGAACATTCTCCGCAGGGATATGTGATTTTGTTATCCTTTTCATATCCGTAAATGCATCTGGCATTTGATTTGCTATTCTCTGCAAATGAATAATCTTTTGCACCTCTTTTTCACAAATAGAGGCACGTGGATCAAGATGAGATAATGATGGATTTTTCCACAAAATTTCTCGTTTGGTTTCACCAACTTCTCCCCCTAATTTTGGGAAGAGTGTCTCATCGAATCGACAGTCTGCAAATCGTGCAGTAAACAAATCCCCGTCAATGTTTCGAGGTAGCGAATAATGGAGGGAGATTCAAAACCAACATATATTCCTAACCACCTTTGTGGACCCATTTTGGTGCGATGTGGTGGTGCTACAGGCACATATACCGCGCATCCAAAAATTCTTAAATGGGATATATTAGGTTCATGACCCAAAACTAATTGCAACGGGGAATATTTATGATAATTTGTCGGTCTGAGACGAACTAGCATTGCTGCATGCAAAATGGCGTGACCCCAAACAGAAGTGGGCAGCCTCGTTTTCATGAGTAACGGTCTTGCTATCAATTGCAGACGTTTAATTAAAGATTCTGCAAGACCATTTTGAGTGTGAACATGAGCTACAGGATTTTCCGCTTTTATCCCAATTGATAAGCAATAATCATTAAATGCTTGGGATGAAAACTCAGCAGCATTATCAAGTCTAATAGACTTAATTGGATTATCGGGAAATTGTGCCCGTAATCGAATTATTTGTGCCATTAATTTTGCAAACGCGAGGTTGCGAGATGACAATAGGCACACATGGGACCATCTAGAAGATGCGTCTATTAAGACCATAAAATATCTAAACGACCCACTAGGTGGGTGAATAGGTCCACAAATGTCTCCTTGTATACGTTCCAAAAACGCAGGGGACTCAATTCCAACCTTTGTTGGTGATGGTCTAATAATTAACTTGCCTTGATAACAAGAAGTGCAAGAAAATTCATCATTTAAAAGAATCTTTAAATTCTTTAATGGATGCCCATTTGAGTTTTCTATAATTCGTCTCATCATAATTGATCCAGGGTGTCCCAATCAATCATGCCAAAGTACAAAAGTATTGGAATCAGTAACCTTTTGGTTTACAATAGAATGTGCCTCAATTGCACTAATTCTTATCCAATACAGGCCACAAGACAAAGATGGGAACTTCTCAATAACCCTTTTCTGGCCAGAGACATTCTTGGTAATGATGAGATATTCAAGATTATTCTCATCTATTGTCTCAATATGATATCCATTTCGGCGGATATCTTTAAAACTCAACAAGTTCCTCTTGGACTTGGAGGAGAACATTGCATTCTCTATAACAAGTATTGTTCCCTTAGGCAGAGTTATAGTAGCTCTTCCATAGCCTTCAATTAATTTACTACTACCAGAAATTGTAGTAACATCTGCCTTACACATACTTAAATGAGAGAAATATTTCTTCTCTTTGAATATTGTATGTGTCGTACATGAATCAATTAAACAAATATTTTTACAATTGGACATTGATCCAAGTTTGCTTTGTGAGATATCCATATTTGCTTCCCATGATTTGACATACAAAAGAAATATACGAATAAACATTAGTATATTCTTGTCGATTAAATATATTCATGAATTTGTTCAAGCATTTAACAAGGGAGCTAATAATGAGAAAGATAAGGACATTTAGTAGAATTAAATACCATACATCTAAATAATACGATTAACACAGTGTGAAATTGCAATTGTGGAAGAAAAGAAAACAAACTAATTTAAAAATTAGTTTTCCGAGCACACATTGTATAAAACAAATATTAAACAAAGAGAGAATTGGATAAGCTAACTGTCATTATACAACAACGTGGAAACAAGGATAACCATATTTGTTTGTCCATTATTCTGACCACATGGACGTGATCGCTCGTGTCTTCAATCATATACATACATTGTCCAATTCAACTCTAAATTTTACTTTCTGTTTTAACTCCACGTTAAGAAATCGATAGATGTGCAACAGGAGCAAATTTCCATAAAGAGATTTTGTTAAAGGGAGATTACATATAAGAGTAAATACTTTATAACACTCAATTGATTGTATAAAACAAATATTAGAATTATATTTAATCAAACCGAACTAACACTATTTTAAAAATTAAATAATACTAACTGATACTAATGGTTACTACTCATGTAAAGAACTATAATTACATGATGTTTATTAACTACTACGAACAGGCAAAAATAAAAATCAAACTACTCAATCATATTTAACCACGGATCCATACCGATCAAATGGTCTATTTTTCCATCAGGGCGCTCAAAGAAGTTTCCACATCCAAGTGGGTGATGTCAAAATCATTGTCAGAGACAAAATTGGCTTCAGGGCCTTTATTCTTTAGAGATGCTTGATAAAGCTCAACCAAATGTCTTGGTACACGACAAATATTTGCCCAATGCCCTTTTCCACCGCAACGATAGCATTCAGTTTCTGAACCATTTGCTTTTGGCTTCTCATCTTTCCCTTTCCACTTTTGGTGGTTATTTCTCTTTGGGGGATGATTAACACCAGAAAAATTTCTTCCTTGTCTACGGCTACGGCCACGGCTACGACCATGACCACGAACGCTACGAATAGAGTCACGGCCTTTTCCACGCTTAGCATAATGGGAATACACCTCATCCATTTCAGGCAATGGTGTAGACCCAGTGGGTCGCTTTTCGTGATTTCTCATGAGCAAGTCATTGTTTCGCTCAGCCACAAGGAGAAGAGAAATCAGCTCAGAGTACTTCTTGAAACCTTTCTCTCTGTACTGCTGTTGCAAGACCATATTGGAGGCATGAAACGTTGTGAACATTTTTTCAAGCATATCATAATCAGTGATAGTGTCTCCACAGAGTTTCAATTTAGAAGTAATTCTGAACATCGCAGAATTATATTCAGAAACAGACTTAAAGTCTTGGAGCCTCAGATGAGCCCAATCATATCGTGCTTGTGGAAGAGTGACCAACTTTAAGTTGTCATATCTTTCTTTTAAGTCATTCCACAAAATAAGTGGATCTTTGACTGTGAGATATTCAATTTTCAACCCTTCATCAAGGTGATGGCGCAAGAAAATCAAGGCCTTAGCACAGTCTTGGGTGGATGCTTTATTTCTGTCTTTAATGGCGTCTCCAAGACCCATTGCATCTAAATGGATTTCAGCATCCAACACCCATGTCATATAGTTCTTGCCCGAAATTTCAAGGGCAACGAACTTTCTTTTCATAATGTCAGTCATAATTAAAAAGAGGAGAAAAATTACCTTAATCTTCTCAAAGAGCTTCTTGAGACGATAGAGTCTCGTGCTGATAACGTGTTATAAAATAATAAAAGAACAAGAGCAATATTGCAGAGAAAGAGAGAGAGGAAATTCTTATTGAATTTGGGATGAATTACAATGGAATAGAACCCTCTATTTATAGGGAGAGGTTGACTTAGCCACCAAGTAATAAACCCTAAAATCTCTCTAAATATGGACATTCACCATAAATAGAATTCTATTTATAACAAATTCCAACAATTTAACACATGTTGAATTTTTGTATTTAATTGTTTGTATTTTGTATTTATCAGTCAATTCAACGCTCCATTATGATCTGCATGCGTCTTAATATTAATGCTTAGTCCCAAAACCTAGCCGTTTAAAAATAGTTTTGCTTCTCTGGAGAGTTAGACATTAATTGAGCTCGAGTTACTTATTGTGGAACCAATTCTCCAGTTAATTGACTAATGCAGTTTCTGCAATGCAACAAATAATTTCAGACATGGATTGATTTCAAAGCAAATCGTGTAAAATTATCTTTAACTGTTTGCACCTCTAGACTTGAAAACTCGTGTTAATTAGTTCAAGTTGGGAGAAAAGATGGATTAATTCAAGTTAATAAGATATTGTTGTATAAAAATATATTTACCAATATGGAGATTTTGTGTAATTTAATTTAAAGTTCTAATATATTTCTACGTAAGTATAGAAAGAAACCTGAAGGTGGCTATATCTTGAAAGATTGTCAGTCCACGAATGCCTTTTATCTCCAAAATTTCCTTTTCAAGTTGAGATCAATTTGGTTTGAAAAAAGAAAATTAATAATTAATAATAATAACGACTTAGTAAGGGATTGAGATTCTAGTACTTATCACAACCCTCAAAGAAAAACTAAAACTGACTAATCTTTTAGCCTCTAGTAAAGATTTGTAGTTCTTGCCTCCATTTTAGCCTCTCTTTTGATGAACCTATCCTCGCCACCCGCCACCCCGGCCCCAAGACCCCAACCTACCACCCTCCCCCGCCCTTGCCCATTTCGTCTCCCATAGTGTTTGTCTAAATTATATATTTTTTTAAAAATATTTTCTGCTACCTAACCAAACACCAGAAAATAAGTAAGACGACCACTTATTTTCGAAGAAAATAACACACCCTTAGCCTATGAATCTTTGTGTTCAATCTGTTTTCATATATGGATTCATATTGCTGTCTACTTCCAATTAGCAACCCCATTTCTGAAATCTAACTACTATGGGACATAGTCAAGTATTTTTCCAGAATCTAGACCTGGTAAACGCATGTTCAGATATAGTCAACAAGAATCCAAATGCAACAATCAGTTTATCAACTACTACAAATCCATTAACATTACAGAACCTTTACAATAACTAAAAAGTTTTTGTATATATTGGCCGAACAGCCGGACATGAATTAAAGGATAAAAATTACATTTCTTTTCCAAGCGTAGCGTAAAGAAACATCACTATAAGATAAACCATTACAAATGCAACATTGTTATACTATTCTGTTAATGGTCAGATCAGTAACACTTATGGTCCCCTCATGGTTCATGAAACAACTACTGTCTTGCCCGCTTCAAGCTGCACGATGGGCATTTATATTGCTTTATACTCTCAGCTTTAGCGGGAGTTATCTTAACACATTTCCCATGGTACCACCTCTCACAGATGTCACAGCCAATCCAAAATTCATCAGCACTATAATTCCCACCACAGCTGCCGCATAGTGTCTCACCATGTTCTTCTTCTTCCTCCTTGTCAATTTCATCTGCCAGCTTTGGAGTGCTTTTAGCCTGTCCATCAGTAGATTTCTACAGAATGTAAGGGCAGATCAGGACATACTGAAAGAGGAACTATAAGGAACTACATATAGAGTTCAATGGTCTTAATCTCGAACATAAAAAGTCTGAAAATTTTGAGTTAAGCATATTAATACAGTGGCACCACTAATTCAGGACCAACAGAGAGAAGGTTATATTGTAGCCCCCTACCTTTGTGCTACCACGAGATTTGCTTCCACTATCGGCAGTGGGCTTCTCTTTTACGTGTTTTATTTCCGTCACAACTTCAAACACCGTTGGTAGTTCATTGATCATGCTGAATAGACGCTTCCTACACAAGAAGCAACAGTGGTGATCCAGAATAATTCCTTTCTCCTTCTTAAACACCAATAAAGCACATTCCTTTCGTCAAATTGCAGAAACTAGGAGATAAACTTTGTAATGGATACTATTTCAAACAGATTTGCTGAATAGACATAAAACAAAGACAAAACAGGATTTGATAAGGATGAAATGTAGCCGACATTTGCAGATAGAAAAAAATCCAAATAGGAAGTGTACACAGATGCTTGCTGAGGGGTGAAAATAAATGCAGTTACAGCTTAAGAAGCTCCATATCAGGCTTTTCCACAGAAAAGTTGCATCATAAAGTAGAGACGCTCCAGAAACATGTTATGAAGTTTTAACCAAGCATGAGAGACAAAAAAATAAAGAAAAAAGAAATTCTCTGTTCCATTTTATATGGCACCTTTTATTTTTTGGTCTCTTTCAAAAAGTATGACATATTTCTCTATTTGGAAACTTCTTAACTTTAAACTTCCCATTTTACCTAAATGATATGCTCTTATTGCCATAGAAATGTCATGACATGTTATTATAGCCATAGAAATGTCATAACATGTTACCATTCAGAAAAATAGACATATTTACCACTGCAAGTTTGACACGGGTGATTTTTTTTGTTGGCACCACTGTATGGCAGTCAGCTCGCAGCTAACTTCAGCCCACAAGAACACCTGTTTTGATACTTAGGTGCAAAGACAGAATTAAACGAGGGAAACAGGCACACAATGTTTACAAGCAACAAGCCCAACTTTTATTTATCTCTCAGATAAATACAAAGAATCACGAGTTGGGAAAGCTCTTTACAACATCCTATATTTATACAAGTTCTGCCTCAGCAGGTATAATACATTTACAAAGAGTATTTCTGCATGTGCCAGCTGTCTCACATGCAGCCAGTCCAGCTGCCAGGTGTGCCACGCACACTGCCCCAATGCCATGCCTGTTGCAGCAGCTTGTGCTGGTAATCATTTCCATCAGAGCATGCCTCTGTTGCTGTCAGCCCGCCATCATGCCTACCTGTCAGCCAGGTTCATGCCATTGCTTCTGCCAGCAACCTTGCCCAACAAATCATTTCCGTCAGAGCATGCCTCTGTTGCTGTCAGCCCGCCATCATGCCTACCTGTCAGCCAGGTTCATGCCATTGCTTCTGCCAGCAACCTTGCCCAACATGCCTTGTCAGCCGGGCATTGACAATTGTCAAGTCATCTTGCCAACTCAACCATCTGATCCAGCCTTGCCTTAGCCCACATTTTTGCCCAAGTCAAGGGCCCATGCACATGCCCTTGCCTTGGTCTTTTGCCTCTTCCGTCATGTCCGACTTTGGGGGTCTAACAGTTGACCATCAATTTGACCTTGTTACATCATTATATCTACTTGCTCTCACAATCCCAGAGATTGATGCTGATCTTGCTTCCAACTAGACCTAGACCTTCTCCTGTCATCCTCTATAAAAAACCACAAGCATTTATATATGATTTATTTGGCTCTAGGGCATCTAACAATAAGGCTATTGCACTTCCATACTGCTTCTTTTCATTTAAGCTTTCTTGAACCAGCTGGATTCCAGATTGCTGAAGAACATTCCATCCTACCTGTTGAGAGTACTTTAGTTGGGGTCTTACAGGGCCTGCTTGTTGCACATACCATGATTTTGGTGTTTGCGAATGCTATAATCTACAGCAGCATCTTATCCCTCAGTTCTTTTGCTGTGAAGATCTATAGTCCAGTTGGGTATATTGGCTATAATTTATGGAGAATTTCAAGATGAGATCAAATTTTTCCTTCTCTTAGTCCAGAGCATAACTGGTTTTGAATTCCTTGTTACGTTAGAAACTCTATGAGATCTTGATTGAATAGTATTAGAAGTAACAGTCGAACATTTGGCTTCAACTTGTAGAGGAAGTTCTAAGTCTCCCACAGGTCCATATGCCTAGATTTTCCTATGCAGTTCTTAGTTCCAGGCCAGATCTTAATGCTTTATCTTGACGTGAAAAGAAGGTGTTTTGGATTCTTTAGTAGTCTGCTCGTGGTCTTAATCAAATCCAGACTCTTTTATTTGGGAATTAAGAACTCACACATCTAGAAGATGAAAGTAGTAGAAATAAGGATGTTGAGGTGGATGTGCGGGTACACTAGGATGGATAAGACTAAGAATGAAGATATTCAGGAGAAGGTGGGCGTGGGCGTGGCTCCCATGGATGATAAGATGCGGGAAGCGAGACTCATGGTTCGGGCACGTACAAAGGAGGAGCCCAGATGCCCCGGTAAGGAGGTGCGAGCGGTTGGCGTTGGTGGGTACGAGGAGAGGTAGAGGTGGCCTAAGAAGTATTGGAGAGAGATGATCGGGCGGGATATGGCGAGGCTTCAGATCTCCGAGGACACAGCCCTTGAAATTAGGAAGTTGTGGAGGTCGAGCAAGGTTGTAGGTAAGGAGGTAGCTGAGCATATTTCTAATTCGTACAATGTGAGGCTAGTCTGATAGGATTTTGTCTTAGATTGCCAGTGGTTAGTGTTGTGTTCACACAACTCTTCCATTTTCATAGTGTCGGGCCTTATTTACAGGTTCTTTTGATGTTATAATTTCTATGATTTTTGTTGATGGTACTGATATATTGTCTCTTTTCGTCTTTTTGAGCCGAGGGTCTATCGGAAACATCCTCCCTACTCCCTCGGGGTAGAGGTAAGGTATGCGTACATATTACCCTCCCCAGACCCCTCTTGTGGGATTTTACTGGGTCGCTGTTGTTGTTGTTGTTGTATAAAAGAAAGATAAAACATATTGCTGTGCGATAGTGGAGATCTCTCCAACCATCTCTTGTTAGAAAAATTTGAAGTATAGCAAAGTAGCCAAAAGAGTGGGTACTATCTCAAGTGACTATTCATATAGCTTTTAACAATTCAGTCGTGAGGATTATGCTCGAACCCTTCATACAGGAATCCCTTAGGCAAAAGAGGTGCTACTGAGAAATAGGTTCAACCTGAGTTGTAGTTTGTGTTTTGTAAAGAACAAAACGCAACTGGGTTCTCTTAAACATTTATTCTTGGGTGTTCCAGGCTTTGCTGCATCTTTATTACCCTTTTAACTGTAGGGGAATTGTGACACGATTTAGTACATTCTAGAGGGTCATGAGGTAGATTACAATGCTGGACACAATCTATCATTTGGTGTCTTCTTTGATTGTTTGAATCCTAAGCTACACACCATGCAGCCCACGATATATTTTAGAGGTTTAGAAGAAACACTCACCTTTTTCATGCTTGTGAGTTACTTCTATTGCACATATTTTTTATAAGTAAGGTAAAATTTTATAACTGTATCAGCAACAAGAGTGTGCTGGTATGAACATCTGAGCACATCAAAAGTGTGTCTCACAGGTTGTGAAGAGAACTAATAAAATCAACCATGGCCTCTACATTGTAACATTCATGTATATCTACCATGTCGATCCAATAAGAAATTAAAGAAATACAATTAAACTTAAGACTAGAAACATTCTCTTTTTTGACTTGAAAATTTCTCAAGTTTCTCTCTTACCATATAATCCACCATATTGCCGCTGTTATCGCGCTCCAAATTCTTTGATGCTTACCCCTCAAGCCTCCTTTCTGCCAACCTTGCAGAAATTCCAGTGTCTCTTGGCATTGTCCACTTCAACCCCAACCAAGAGTCATTCCAAAAGCTAATCTTTCCTTCAATCACCTAGCTTGAAGTATGTTTTGCCTAAGACGTCATACTAATAAGCACATGTTAAGATGATTTAAGGGTTGTAGGTTCAGTTTTTACACTCAACACTATATTTAGTAGTTGTATCCCGTGGTGCCCTTAATAACACAATGTTTTCTTGCTTATTCTCCAAACACCCCCCACCCCCACTCCCCAAAAAAATAATAATTTGGCGAAACAGGTAAATGACCTCTTGTGTCCCCTAAATGTTTCAAAAACTCTAGAGAGATATGATTTTTTAAGTATTTCTCCTCTTCCCTTTCTTCTTTTGACTGCGGATATAAGTTCAAACTAGATAAAAAGGAGGAATATCCATTTCAAAAAAAAAAGGAGGAATATCTGCACTAAGATTTTCTAGTGTCATTTCTTGCTGATAAATGCCAATGCATATTTATGCATGTGTAAATATATAAACATAATTTAGAGGACTAGTCTGCGTCATGTTCCTTTGTTGATATGCATTATCATATTAGATACGATGATTGGAGCTCTCTTGATGTTACAGTGGCTTACAGCATTAGCAGTTTTTTCTTTTAAGAACTCTCATATGTGCTTTCTCAGGCTTGTCATAAATGCAGCATCACACCTTATTTCACTGTATGAAATGCACCATTATCATTCGTGGTTCAATTGTTGGGTGCTTGCAGGCCTCAGGTAACAATTGCCACTGCAATAATATTTTGTCATCGGTTCTTTCTTCGGCAATCTCATACCAGGAATGATAGGAGGGTAAGTTACTTTCCGTTTCCGTTTTACCATCTATTGCATCTATGGCTGCTTGACCTTTTGTATATATTTGTTAAATGAAACCAGTGGTTGCATAACATATTTCCTTGAATATCGTGTAAGCGTGTGGATGAGCAGAAGATCTTTTGGTGCCTAACTTACCAAGTTACAGGATATGCCATATAGTTGGTTTTGGCATCTATTGGCTAAAAGGCATTGGTGCCATTAGTTGAGCTTGGTTGATTAAGTTACATGGAAAATGGAACTTGCATAGCCTCTGATTGGTTTGTAAGTAGGATTATGTATTCTATTACTATTTTCTGATAACGGAGAAAATTGCCGAGTGCCAGTGGCAATTCAGTGGTTAATGGGCCCGCCCTTCTACCCTTCTACACATAAATACCAAGCTTTTGTCCGCGGAAGGGTTCGAACCCCTGAAGCGTGCCTAACCCATACATTGAAATTTATATTTTATCATACCTTGCATTTAGTTCATACCTTGTAATTCAAGTGTTGGTATATGTTCTTATCAGCTATGCTACCTTGCATTTTTAATAAAATTCAAGAGAAACAAAGGTTCAATTAAGAAAAGAAAAAGAAAAAGACACAAGGGGGCATTAGATGTATTTTTATATCACCCAGCAATAGGGCAACCATCAAGCTTTTAGCATGTAGTGGTCCAATAGAGGGCCACCAACTTTTGACACCGAAGACCGGTTCCTTTTATGTGACTAGATTGAATCTCCAATACCTACTAAAACTGTATTCGGGTAGAAGAGTTATCAGATGTTTTAAACTTTTTAGATACGTTGAGATGAGTGTGCTTAATCGTTATATGGTGACCTCTGTACTACTGTAATCTTGTATTTTGCAGTACTTGGTACTTGCCTTAATAGTATTTACTTATTAAAAATAAGTACGGAAAAGGGTCAAAAATATCCCTCTACTATTGGATATTGTTTATAGTTGTCCTCCGTCATACTATTTGGTTAATTTAGTCCCTACCGTCTAACTATTGGTCATATATATCCCTCAGTTAACTGAGAGAACACGTGGTAGGCTTATAAGCCATTTTAATGCCCAACCCATGTTTTAACTTTAACCCACCCATACCCAAGCCCTTATACCTGAATCAGAGACAAAAACTATTGAATCATCAGGCAAGATTTAAATCTCGATTTTCCGTCAATTTTGCCGGAACCCCACTTGAACAGAGCATACTATGGCCTCAATTCTGCAGCCGTCCAAAACATACCATGGCAGTCTAATTTAAGCTGCGTTTCTTAAATTGTTGGATACACAGACTTATCCGTAAAAAGGGAGCATAGGAAAGGGCAAAAGGAAATATAGAGTGAATAAAAATATAAAAACAAAAAAATCAAAGTGAACACATTTGATTCGAGGGATAAGGGGTTGGATACGAGGAAAGGGTCGGATTAAAGTTAAAATATGGATTGGGCATTAAAATGGCTTATAAGCTTGCAACGT